CCTCCTGCTCAGTGCCCGGGAAGCCAGGAGGGTGCAGCTGCTCTGTTTAGTAAGATTGGGCTCCAAAAAGAAGGTGGCGGTGGTGAATCAGATCTGTCATCTGGATGAGGAGAGGTTCATTCCATATCCTCAGACACGGTTGTAATCGGTCACGCCTGCAGCACGCCTGGCCGGCTCTCACACACACACTCACACACACACACACACACACACACACACACACACACTCCTCTGCTGACACGTATGCTCCCTGCATGCTACATACACATGTTCTATGTATTATCCACCTTCATTTGCAAACTCAAGTTGGCTTAAGCTGAAGAACTGGGAAGGGGGCTGCCCTGACCTGAAGGTGTGGACTCAGGAGTGGCTGGATCCAGGAACTTTCTTGTCCCCTAGGTTTTCTCTCTTGGTTCTCTGTGCTCTGTGTGGGTCTGTTTGTCTTCCATCTCAGGAAGCTCCTGTTTTCAGCTGGCAACAAAGTGACCTTGCAGCTGTAAGTCCACCAAAGTGACTCTTTCATTTTTTTTAAAGAATTACTTAATTTTCGGGGCCAGAAGTTGGCATAATGGCTATGTCTCTGGACTCCCATGTAGTCGACCATGGTTCAAGTCCCAGACCCAGTGGCGACCCAGTGGCTTAAACTCACGCCGGGCACGTGTGTGCGTGTGCCCAAGATCCCGAGAGGAGAAGGGATTGTGGCGTGGCCGTCCCCTTGGGGGTGATTTCTTGCTTTCTGTCTCTCTATCTCTCTCTGTTTTTCTGGTGAGTACATGTACCCTATAGCAAAAACTTCTCCAAAAAAATAATAATTATTATTTAATTTTCTTTATTATTTTTAAAAAATTTAATTTAAATGTAAAAAGTTAAAATTTGTCTTTCTTTTTATTTTCTACCTTCTCATTCTTTCTTTGGCCATATTATTCTTTTAAAATGATTTATTTAGTAACCAGCAGTTAGCGTAATGGCTATGTCGCTGGACTCCCACGTAGTCGACCGCAGTTCGCGTCCTGGACCCGGTGGCTTAAAACTCACACCGGGCGCGTGTGTGTGCCTGCCCAAGATCCCGAGAGGAGATTGGAGAGAAGGGCTTGCGGCGTGTCCATCCCCCCTGGGGATAAT